TCAACTCGAAGGCGCCGAGGATGGCGTCGCCGCTCGCGAGGCACAGGTACGGCCGCCCGGCGAGGCCGCGGTACGTGTTGATGCGCGACAGCGAGAACTTGAGCGTGTCGTACTGCCGCCCGTTCTGGCACTCGAGGCAGCTGCAGGAGATGTTGTGCGGGCGCTGGATGGCGTGCCCCTTCTTGAGCAGCACCTCGACGATGTCGAAGAGGTTGTCCTGCGAGGCGAGCGTGAGCGGCGTGACGCCGGGCGGGTAGCGCGAGCTGTCCATCGAGTGGTCGAAGATGGCGAGCGAGAAGGAGCGGATGTCCATCTTGTTGTGGCCCAGCGCCTTGTCGTTGTCCAGGCGGTCGAGCAGCAGGGTCACGACCTTGGACACGCGGCGGGCAAAAGGATGAGTCCGGACGATCGAGCAGATAGACAGGCCGGCCGACCGATCGACCGACTGATTTAGTACTCTTAGGTTTTTTTGGTAAAGTCACGTAGGTAAAAAATAAAAAAATAAAAATTAATAAAAGTAAAATAAAAATCACGACGTTTCGGAGGCAACACAAGCTTCCGTCTTCAGGTGGAACCGTCACAGCACGATAGCTGTATCAGAAAAAAACTAAGAGGATGAATCCTTGCAGTCACGAAAGCTTCAAATCTAGGACTGATTTACTCACAAGAACACTGGCGGACTACGTGACAAAGTGACCAACCGGCAGCGACTTACGAACAGACCGACCGACCATTTACCGCGGTTGGCTACGTGCGGTGCGAAGGAGTTTCAACGTACGCACACACACACAATTGACCGACGGAGAGAGACAAGAGTGACACATTGGCCAACAGAGTGACGTACGAACGTGACTGACTTTTCGATTTAAAGCTTTCGTGACTGCAGGGATTCATTTTCTTGGTTCTTTCGGTAAAGTCACGTAGAATGGAAATAATAAAATAATAAAAATAAAACATAATCAAATAACTTCTCACGACGTTTCGGCCACAACTCAAGCAGCCGTCCTCAGGTGGAGAACAGGTCTAAGACAAACTCTGTCTTCTCGACAGACCTGTTCTCCACCTGAGGACGGCTACTGAGAATTATTTTATAATGTTTTATTTGTATTATTTTATTATTTCCATTCTACGTGACTTTACCGAAAGAACCAAGAAAACGTGACTGACTGACTCACAAACCGACCGACCGACTCGTGGACTGACCGACCGACCGACCGGCCAACATCGCCGGGTCACCTGCTGCTGGTTGGTGTCCACGGCGACGAGGAGGGCCTCGTGGATCTGCCGGAAGTCGAAGCGCACGCAGCGCAGCAGAGCGCCCAGCACCTCGTCGCTGCCCATGCGGATCGCCAGGTTCAGCGCCTCCCTCCACGAGCGGTCCTCCTGCTCGTCCGCCTGCCGCGGGTTCGGTGGCACCCCCCGCTCCGCCGCGACCCCCCCTCCGCTCTCGGCGGCCCCCAGGATGTCGTAGACGCGCGCCACGTTCCCGTCGCGGATGGCCGCTTGCAGGGCGATGGGGAAGCGAACCTTCCTGCTCACGATGTTGCGCCAGCTGCGCGCGTGCTGCTCCGGCGACGACACGGGGGTCGGTGGCGCAAGCAGCAGCAGCAGCATCATCGGCATGGGCAGCAGCAGCATCATCGGCATGAGCACCATAGGCATCATCGGCATGAGTAGCATCATCATCATCATCATCCGCATGAGAAGCAGCAGCACCATCGGCATGAGCAGCACCATCATCATCGGCATGGGCAGCACCATCATCATCGGCATGAGCAGCAGCAGCACCATCGGCATGAGCAGCAGCATCATCATCGGCATGAGCACCATAGGCATCATCGGCATGAGCAGCAGCAGCATCATCGGCATGAGCACCATAGGCATCATCGGCATGAGCAGCAGCAGCAGCACCATCGGCATGAGCAGGAGCATCATCGACATGAGCAGCACCATCATCATCCGCATAAGCAGCATGAGCAGCAGCATCACCATCAGCAGCAGCATAATCATTTTCAGCACAAATGATAGCTCAAGGAAGTGGCTTATGATCGTGTGGACATTTATAGCAGCCAAATAATCTAATCGCGTGACGCTCATCCTAAATGTGGAGGGCCAAACCGGAGAACCCGGGGGAAAAATCCACGCGACCACGGGGAGAGAGAGAAAGACGCAAACTCCAAATATACAGCAGCAGGCGTCAGAGGTCGGGATCGAACCCACGTCCTCCTGCATACCAGGCGAGGTAGTTGACATCTCCTAGCCACCGCGGCGCCCCCCAAATCGTAGCGACCAAAAAACAATCTGGGCCTCTCTTTCTCCTGAACTGAGAACCGAATCATGAAATGCCCTCTCATCATGGTGATGAGTAAGACCCATCACACCACCACCACCACCTACCCGTTTGTTCTCCATGATCTTGCCTCGGGGACTATGGTTGGAGACCCCGACCTCACGCTCTGCGGTTACCGAGTCAATTAGGCTGTGTGGGTGCAGCAGGAGACGCTGTGTGGGTGCAGGAGGAGACGCTGTGTGGGTGCAGCAGGAGACGCTGTGTGGGTGCAGGAGTTGAGGCTGTGTGGGTGCAGGAGTTGAGGCTGTGTGGGTGCAACAGGAGACGCTGTGTGGGTGCAGCAGGAGATACTGTGTGGGTGCAGGAGTTGAGGCTGTGTGGGTGCAGGACTTGAGGCTGTGTGGGTGCAGGAGTTGAGGCTGTGGGTGCAGGAGTTGAGGCTGTGTGGGTGCAGCAGGAGAGACTGTGTGGGTGCAGCAGGAGATGCTGTGTGGGTGCAGCAGGAGAGACTGTGTGGGTGCAGGGCTTGAGGCTGTGCGAGTGGAGCCAGGGGTGTGTGGGGTGGAGGAGTTTGGGAGAATCCGTGTGGATGTTGGAGTAGCCCGAGTTTGCGTGCCACGGAGGAGGCAACGCAACTGCGAGTGGATGAGGCAGGGGGATGCTGAGCGGGTGGGGATGGAGAGGACCTGTGTGGCTGGAGGATGGCAGTGAGACTGTGTGGGGTGTCGGAGGAGGCAAGGGAGTTGTCGGCGGAGGAGGAGCAGGAGGCGGGGTGGGAGGAGATGGAGGTTGTCTTGGTGGAAGAGGAGGCGGGGAGAGGTTGTGGTGGAGACACAGAGCGACTGGAGCAGGCAACATGTGGCAGAAGCGGAGCTTGCAGGGTGAGTCACCGTGATCCTCCATCCTCCTCCGCCAGGGCCAGATTCGACAGCATCGATACAGAAGGATGGAGGCTGCAGCGCCACTCTAAGAAAACTCACCTTGAGCCTGGGGAAATGCTGATGTGCAGGTGTGGGTGACGAGGCAGGTGTGTGTGTGCTGATGTCAGGTGTGGGTGACGAGGCAGATGTGTGTGTGATGTCACGTGTGGATGACTCAGGTGTGTGTGTGTTGATGTCACGTGTGGGTGACGAGGCAGGTGTGTGTGTGTGCTGAGGTCACGTGTGGGTCGCGAGGCAGGTGTGCATGTGTGATGTCACGTGTGAGTGGCGAGACAGGTGTGCATGTGTGATGTGTGTGCTGATGTCACGTGTGGGTGACGAGGCAGGTGTGTGTGTGCTGATGTCACGTGTGGGTCACGAGTCAGGTGTGTGTGTGATGGACCCCCCCCTAATGGAAGATCTTAGCCGCTCAGAAACATTCAGGCCGGTCTGCCTACGATCCATCCTGGGTTTCACCAGACTGGATTGTGTGAGCTCACAAATCCTCGAAAGGTCTGGACAAAGTCCCATCGGTGAGCTCCTCCAGTAGGCAAGGCTGCGTTGGCTGGGTCATGTAGCCCACATGCCCAGCCATCGCCTGATCAAGCAGCTGTTGTTCGGCCGGATAGAGGGGGCCAAACGGACCCCACATAATTTTCCTGTAGTCTCTCAACATGACCGAACCACACCAGCCTTTTCTCTGTCATCTTCTCTGTGATTTCTACCACCTTGAGTCTTCCTCTCACTTCATTTTTCACTGTGTCCTTCCTTGTTAGAGCCAACATCCACCGCGACATCCTCATCTCTGTGACTGCCATAGCTTAGTCCCTCCCTCTTTCTTGTGTCCCAGCACTCGGCCCCATACAACAGCACCGGCCTCACCACCGTCTTGCACTATACACTACACTATACACTACACACCTTTTCCTTTAACCAAACTGGGACCCTCTAATCGCACACCACACCAGTCATCTCTCACTATTTCAGCCATCCAGGCCTTCTTCTTGTTCTCATCTCTCCTTCTAGTGTTCCATCAGTTACATATCGTTGCACCCAGGTGCTTAAACTCGTTCGTCTTCATTCACTGGTCACTTGCAATTTGCAATCCTCCTGAATTATTTCCACTGAAATTTGCCACCATGTACTCCGTCTTTGTCCTTAGCTCACTACCACCTGCTGCTCTCAGTAACTTTGCTGATCTCGTCAAGGAGTATAAACCATCACGGTAACTGCGGTCATCCTCGCAGCGACTTTGGCTAATCATCAAAAAAAAGACGGTCACTGCATCGCATGCTTTTAGATGTGCTTTTGTGGCCATCTGGAACCTTCTTACTTCCGATATTAGGAAGCCACTGGAGCAATGCATTTTCAAATCTAGATTGAAAACTAATTTCTTTTAGAACTGCTCTTCGTGGTCAGTTTGTTGTCCTTCCCCCGCACCTCCGATTAGCACGGTCAGTTACGTACAGTGCGAAAAAGTTCAACATACAACATACTAATCAGCTCACTACCACCTGCTGCTCTCAGTATTCCACTCGCTATTGTTCCCACGTTACATTCACGCTCCCCTGAGGCCTTACGCTTGCCTGTAGTTGTCATGTTTTAGTCGCCACCACTTCACCACCCTGCTACTCAAGGCCGGAGCCATGGAGTCAACAATGAGGGGACCAAATCTTCCAGGGGGTCTGGGGGGTCTGGGGGGTCCCCCCCCCCCCCCCCCCAGAAAAAAAATCTAAATTTGAAAACGAATTTCCTGCCTAAAATATTTAAAAATTCACTAACACATGGGATGGGCTTTTTATTTATTTATTACAATAATGTCTAATATTGTATTGTATTACATGTCTGTTTTTCTTCTTTACCATTTCTTGTTTCATTGTATGTAATGACAGAGATTAGGGATTCATAAAGTACAACCATAACCACAATCATATAAACAGAAATCTATGCATTGATTTATATGAAGACAAGTCCAGATATTGTGGCCAAGGTTTAGCAAATTGTTGTTTTTATTTACATAGCATAGCAATTATTTTTGAATATTTTTGATAACAATATATTGTGGGGACATTTCCTGTACGTGTCATACTCGTAGACATGTAGGGATGACACGTCCAGAGATTCAATTACTATGAGAAGCATAATTTTGGCGAGATCTTTCCTCACCAACAATTGTTTATTCGGTCTAAATCCGAACCCCCGTAAATTAATGTTTGTAAACATAGGGATGCATCGATTCGTTAATTAAAATTGATTCTTATGCAAATTAGAACACCCCGTCCAATCCATGCGAGACGACTTATTCACGGCATATTCCAACGATATGATGATACATTTGGACTAATGAAGCAGTCAGAACGATGGCAATGAGACGCAACATGACAAATACCAAGCGAGGAGATACGAGATGAAATGCGATCGACCGTTGGATTGAAGTCCGATCCCGAATCGTGACCGTTCAGCAAGTCAACTGCTGGGCGTTACGCGCCTCCAAGCGTGTTCACTAAATGTACGTTTGGCACCGGCGTGGTTTACAAGGTAGCACTATAAATATCGGTGTTGTGGCGTATGGCCACGTAATTTCATGAGGTTGGCAAGTCAATGGCTTGAATGGTCTACAATCGACAGCGACATTTCCTATTTCACTACGACTGTATTTCGAAGTTAACTTAATATATCTAAGAGGCAGACGGAAGCGCTGTGAAGCAACTCTCGTTTCTCTTTCGCCTCATGGTTAACCTCACAATGTGAAAAACCTAAGCCTGGTTGTAGACAGGTCATCTACAATAAATAATGAACAATAGCTCTTAATTCTCTCTTCAAGATGGCTTTATGTAGCCTAAACAAGAGGGATTCAATAACCATCCACTCACTCACCCACCCATGTGCATCTGAGGCAGTGGAAAGCTACGTACGTGGGCCATGATTTAGTGTCTGTAGTTGCAGTTGTACACAAGACAGAGTCTCTGAGTTTCCACGTCGTGTGCATCAGGTGTCCGCATCTTCTGTGGTTTGTGAGAATCCGGTAAAGCGCTGCACATTTGTTTCTATGGAAGACGGAAGCCGGACAGTATGGTGGCGGTGGTGGGGTCACTGATGAGCTGTGTTGTGGAAGCCAGGCAATGCGGCGGTGAGCTTGCTGATCAAGTGTTTTTTGGGCATGTTGCCTGAAACCCATTGGACCACTCCGTTGAGATGACGAAATTTTCATCGCGCACACTCTGTGAGCGGCTCCAACACGGCCACGTTCTGGACCTTAATCGTGGACGCGAGATATTGTTCAGGTCATCGATGTTCGACAGGTTTGAGCCCTTTATTCACCCGGCAATAACCTCGTTATTGTCCTTCCCCCGCACCTCCGATGAGCCACGGTTGGCTACGTACGGTGCGAAAGAAGTTCAACATACATACACACATGGGTCACAGCACTCGTTCAGAACGATGCCGATTGGGATGTCTGGCGAATTCATTGTTGAGAATTTCAGCGTGCGGTAAAAAACAAACAACACCACAGAGCGCCCGGTTGAAAAACACGTTCATTCAAACCCCCGACGCTCCTCGAGACCAGAGGTGGAAGGCTGCTGAACCACAGTGGCAGCGGCAAACACCGCAACACATCACGTGGACTACAAGAGGACGCCGCGTGCAGCATTGGCGACTTCGCCGAGATAAGTTTTGTTAATTCAGTTTGATCCAGAAAGAAAATGATGAAGAATTGTTCTTAAAGCCCGTGAGATTGGTGTGGTAAAAAAATAAATGTAGGCTATGATTATATTGGCCAAGTTCAAAGGGTATGTGTCTTACATATCTCATCATCAATACCATAGGCCCCTGGTTTCTTCTGGTCACAGCGAGCCCTTAACCACCATGAACGTGGCTGGAACACTGTGACCGACCCATACGATGTCGAATAACACAGACGGATCGCAGGCAAAGGCCGACTGAGGAGGAGACGGACTGATCGGAGTGTAAGAGGGCACAAGGATGGAGAGGAATGACACGGAGTGGTCAGCAACAGATGGGATAACAGCGGAAGGACGGCTGCCAGAAGTCCACGGACCCAGTGACCTCCTTAACGGTGGCTTGCCGGGAAGCGACAGACAGAACGTGAACACTGAACCCGCGTACGCGGCCGTCGCGAGCAAATCCCTGAGAGGCGCGACTGCCGTGAGGCCCCAGGGGCCGCGCGGCGCCGCTTCACCTCCGCCTGCCCGCCCTCGCTCGCCTCCCGCCTCGCGCCACGCCGCAGCGGCCCCTGAAGGCCGACTGCGCCGTCACCGTGCGACCGCTCGTGTTGAAGTCGCAAGCCGCCTCGTCCCCGCTGCTGCTGCTGCTGCTGCTGCTGCTGCTGGTGCTGCTGCTGCTGTCATCTTTGTGACGCGGTTTGCGTTTGGCGCGTTTTTGCGTCGCCGCCTTCCCCGTTGGGCAGGCCCCTGCGGCTGTCTCTCCGCTCCCGCCCGCTCCCCCGCGCTTCCTCTTGGGCCCCGGGCGCGGAACGTCGTTCGAGCCGTTGCTGCGAGCCGCGCCCGAGTCCGCGGCTGGCCCCAGGAAGCCCCCGGCGGGGGCTGGCGCCGTCGGCTCCGGCCCTGGCTCGGAACCCGCGGCCTCGGCTGGAGCCTGCGCCTCCTGCCGCTTCATGGTGGTGATGGCTCGCTTCATGCGCTTGCTCCTGATGTTCCTCACCTCCGAGTGCACGACCGGGAAGAAGGAGTCGATGCGCGATTGGCTCTGCGGGATAAATGAAAAAACTTTGTATTTTATTTTTACCAGGTAAGGCCCAATGAGCCATGTAGCTCTTCTTCAGAAGCGACCTGGCGATTGCAAATGATAGCTCAACAAAGTGGCTTGTCGCGTGGAAATGTATAGCAGTGAAACACTCTAAACACGTGACTCCGATTCTAAATGGCGCATCTGACCACCGCCCACCCCCCCGTCGTGACGCCCACTGGTACCAGAAACGTGTACGATTACAAGTTCGATTGACGCAGCAACCTACAGTGTGACGTTCACGTGGTTATGCAGCCCATGGTGGCGAGATGTTAACTACCTCGCCTGGTATACAGGAGGGCGTGGGTTCGATCCCGACCCTGACGCTTGCTGTATATTTGGAGTTTGCGTCTCTCTCTCTCATCATCATCATCATGGTGGCTAGGAGATATATTTCCACATGAAAGGCCACTTTGTTGAGCTATCATTTGTGGCCAGGTCGCTTCTGAAAAAGAGCTACATAGCTCAGTGGGGCCTACCTGGAAAAATAAAAATGTTTAGTTTAGTCTTTAGTGTGTGTACGTGCATGGGTGAAAGTGCGTGCAGTTATCGCATGTACATGGAATAACGTATTTCCGTGCACACATATTTCTGTGAACAGTCGAGATTGAGGCTCCCCAACTGGACTGGCGTTCCCAGCTTGTTTTTAAGCTTGCCCTATTGTTATTTTAACATTAGTTATTGCGAATATGCTGGCATTTAAAATACTGGTGTAAGTAAGTACTCGAAGATTTGGTAAACATGCTCTGGGATGCTCCACCACTGGTCGTTACGATGCCTCTGCCGGCCACCACCGCCAACACCATACCCACGTCTACCGATGAGACGGCTACCCGGGTGTCTGATACATGGGGACGTAAAGCCAACTGCCTCCTGTTCACCTAAAATCAACGCCACCCCCTTCTGGATCACAGCAGCAGCCTCGCTCCACGCCACAAATATAAATGAAGGCGAGAGACGGAGGCGAAACTCTGGACTGCGGTTGACGTCAAAAATAAACACGACCGGTCATACCTCCACGTTTTCAACCTTCCATGCCGCCAATGGTGGACCATCAAACTGGACCAGGACCGGGCAGTGCGTCCGATGCGGCTGCCCGATTCCATAAATGGCTGCATAGAAGATTCGTCGGCCTGCGAGCGGCGCGGCCTCGAATCCCAAACCATCGACTCGCCGCATCTCAAACACTCCGCATCGTAAACACTCCGCTGCTGTCTTCACCTCTTCAAAGGAGGAATGGACGGAATCCACTCTGCTTCTGAACTGACTAATCGAGTGGATAACAAATCTAAAATTACATCTTTAATCTGCCGATATTAATCCGTACGAAAGAAGAATAGGCCACCCTCAACCCTCTCAACCCACCTGGGTGGCACTCAGCTGCTTCAAGACCGGCCGCAGCAGCTCCTCCGTCTTCTTCACCTCCCATCCAAAGCGGCTTTGGCAGAACGTGACGCGGGTTAAGGCAGAGTGGGAGCACCGCAACGGGGACGGGCGGCACGCGGCCTGAACACGCCGGAGAACTCGTCATCACGCGCGCCACGTGGCCAATCAGAACACGTCGCACAACCGCACGTCGATGGCTCCTCAGTGGATCCCGACCGCGTGGCTTTGTATTCGACACGAGCACGCACGGGCCTACGCTGAGCAAGCCTCCTCACTGCACGTGACTACTCACGACTCACAGCATGCACAGATCCTCCCGATACATGGTCAAAAGGCTATAACACTGCGAATTCGCACCACCAATTACACTGGTCAACAATAAAAAAACTTTTTTTTCTGGCCTAGACTTATGCAGCTGTTTTAGACCAATTTCAGGGTGCTGATTCCAAATATGATCTCAGATTTGCTCTATCACATCTCATTTTTATGCTATCGCCATACCCCATTTTCATTGATTTTACCTGAAATTAAGTCTATCACTTATGATTGCAAGTTGTTGCGAGTCAGTGGCTGCTTTAGTGTTAAAATATGGTGCTGTATTTTTAGGATAGTGTGTTTATAATATAATTTTATGTAGATATCCACATTTATTTAATATTTTTCTTCTGCAGTTTTTATTGAAAATGCAATATTTAATATCTCAAAAACCTGATGTGATAGACATAAACTGATTGGAATACCTTATGCCAGAAAAAGTGTGTTGACCAGTGTTAGCGGTGTGTATTCATGGTTAGTGTCGGGGTTAGTTAGGGTTAAAGTTGGAGTTATAGTCAGGCTTAGAGTTTGGGTTAGAGTGAGGGTTAGTTTCGGGGCTGCCATAACCAGCGTCCGTGTCGGGGCCCCGCGTTGGGGCAGGTGCCGTGTGTGTCGGCGTGGATATTCGGCGATGCTGAGCAGCTGCGGTTGCCCCCAGGAGAAGCCGCCGGCGACGGTGCTGGTGGCCGGCTCGAGGTATGCCCGTGCCACCGCCGGGTTGGGGAAGCCCTCCGACAGCGTCAGCTGGCGCAGCCTGTGCTTCAGCTTGCTCTCCACGGGACGGGCGTGCAGCTTGCGGTTCTTCTGCGCCTCGTCCCACCATGCCCTGCAGCGAAGGTGTTACGGGTTCGAGTTAAGGCATGAGGCTTCGGAGCAAAAGGTTAGGGGATGAGGGTTAGGATTCGCAGCAATGGTTAGCAATTACGATTTGCGGTTACGGTTATGGGTTATGCGTTGGGTTAAAGTGATGGGCTAGGTTAGGGGTTAGCGAGAGGCTAAGTTTAGAGTCGCACGTATGTACGTTGAACTTCTTGCCTGCCGTACGTTGCCAATTGCGCTAATCGGAGGGTTAGAGCTGTTGATACGAGAAGTTCGATTTGATTCGGGGGTTCGAGTGACGTTAACGGTCAGAGGTAGGGTCCGGGTGAGCGTTGGGGAGTTATTGTCACGGTCAAGTCAAGGCTAAGTCCGCGGGCCAGCGTCAAGGCTTGGGGTCAGCGGTCGGCTCTGAAGATACAGAAAGTGGCGATCACCGCAGCGTGACAAGGGGCTCGATGCCGGGGCCGCCGAACTCGTTGAGAATCTCGAGCGCCGTGACCCCGCCGACCCCGGCGACGCCCTCCGTGTAGTCGCTGCCCATGAGGTAGGCGAGGTTCACCAGCTTCGTCCTGTCCAGCCCTGGCGAGACACGCGACCAATCGGCACGCGGCAATCTCGCACGCGACGCAAGCGCGACTCGCAACACACACTCACATGGGACGCACGTGCGACTAGCAACACACGCTCACATGGGACTCGCAACGCACCCCATAGCACCATCTTCTATAGCACCACCCGCAGCACTACCCCATAGCACCCCCCACAGTAACCGTGCCGTCACGGTAAACGACCCTAGTTGGCACGAGAGCTCCCGCGCGCGTTCCGGCCGGCCTGGAGGAGGCGCGCACCAATGTGCCGCTGGACGTCCACCAGCTGGTAGAAGTCGATGTGCCGGTTCTGGTTGAAGAAGTTCTTGTAGACGTAGCGGCCTCCGAACAGCCAGATGTCGCTGTCGTCGGTGATGGTGCCGTGGGTCCGGTCGGCGAGGTCGAGGGCGGCGCACTGAGCCTCCGCCTCCCCGGGCGCCGTCATGTACGGCAAGCCGAACATGCGCAGCAGCTCCTGCGCGTCCGCAGAGACAAGCGTGAGCGAACGCCGTGACGGCAATGACGGCCGACACCATCGCACGGGGCGGCTCCCCTTCCGGCGGACGAGGCCACCGCCCTACCAGCGGTGGCGCGAGCGAGCGATTGCAGCGCTGCACCACCGATTGCTCGGCTGCGTTCGTATCGCGTTTGCGGGGCTGTCACACGGCTCCGTGGCTACGCGGGCCGACGTCCACTCACGTCACATTGACATGCATGTGTTAGCAATTTATTAATTAATTCTCCTCCCGCCCCCCCCCCCCCCCCCCCGTATCCGGTGCTCTAACTGTGCGAAAGTCATGTGTAAATTGATAAATAAATCAATAAGTTGGGACAAAACAGGAGGATTTCTACACAAATCTGGCTACCCCCTGATGATGCTGGTTGTAATTACTGGTCAAACGTCGTACTCAGATTGTAAATATTGTAGATTTACTCTCCAACACACCGGTGTGCTGTAGTAGTAGCGAATTGGCACGTTCTGTTTACGTGACAAACCTTACTAATCGGCCGTGTCGGGTGGTGCCGGGTTTAACGACACATTTATATTTACGGGATCTAACCCAAAAGAACCTGTATTATGGTTAATAAATTGCGTTCGGCGTGAGAATTCACCGCCGATGTGCGTAGCGCCGGCGGGTCCCAGGCTCACAGATATCGGCCACAAGTTTAGATACGTTTTCGAGTTGGTTGTCTAGATGAGGCCGAGAGCGGTTGCACGCGCGATGTGGCTGTCACATGACGCGCACACAAGGCACGACGGGAGCCGTGCCTTCCTGAGCAGCAGCAGCACGCCTTTCGTGCGATCGGCGAACCCCACGCGGTGCGAGACACGCGACTCACCTGACACTCGAAGCACATCTGCTCCGTGATGGTGGTGGCCATGCGCTCCTGGTGGCCCCGCTCGGACACCAGCGTCTGCTCCTCCTCGCTCAGGTCGTACTGCAGGCTCTCCAGATCCTCCTGCAACGTGAGACGCACCTCCGATTAGCACGGTCGGCTACGTACGGTGTCAAAGATGTGCAACATACGAACATACATTGATACACGGACACAGTAGACAGACACAGAGGTGGTCTGTATCAAAAGGTCATAACTCCTCACAACAGACAGGGCCCCATCAAATAGCACGTGATTTTTTTAAACAATAATACCAACTTGGAAGGCATCGCCACGGAGTGTTTGCTCTCCCTTGAAGAGACAGGATGGCTTAGAGGCACGAGGAGGAACCGCAGAGGAGTGGGGAAGCCAACAGTCAAGCGGTGAAGCGGCACCAAATTCCATTCGCCTCAAAGCTCTGCGGTCCTCTATATATATTAAGGTGATATTGGCCAATGAGTGGGCGTTTACATGCGGGAGAAAACCGGATGCACGTAGGTGGGCCGTGCTGGTACCTGTGTCATGGGTGAGAAGGCTGGGCTAGGTGGCTGTGCTGGGATGCTCAGGGATGAAGGACTCTGCTCCCCTGGGGTCACGGGGTCACACCGGCTTGGATCTCCAGACTCGGCGACAGAGATCCCAGCATCACCTTCTAGCCCCTCCACCTTGTCCTCCTTCTCATCCTTCTCCTCTTCCTCCTCCTCGCCCCGCTCGAAGCCGACATCGCTCACAGAAGACACCTCCACAAAGTCCTCTGCAGCAAGAAGCAACAACAAATCCACCACCCTCACGCCGTCATGCATTGTCAAGGAAACCCCGAGACGACAGCCAGGGCCTTGTCGTGAATGTCACAGCTCACCACCTCCGTCGCGATTCGATCGTCACAAATTCTCGGTCGAGATTTGGTCCAAAAATCCATTATAACTTTGGGCCATTTCAGTTTACGTGAAAACGATTTCACGCAATATATCGTCGCTAACCATGGTCTATTGACTGCTGGATGAAGGCCTCTCCATTCCACCGCCATCCCTCATGGTCAGGGGTCGGCGAACCTGCGACTCCGGAGCCGCATGCGGCTCTTCGAGGATTGCTTCGTGACGTTAATGATAAAAAACCAACGTCTCGTATTCATCGGCTCTTGAAATATTGAAGTTCTTTTTATCGAATTCGAAAAAAAAGTGGCTCTCATTGTTATTTTGGTTTCCGACCCCTGCCCATGACCCTACGATGCCACATTCAACACGAATTGATGAATCGTTGCTGTTACCTGGCCATGTTCCATAATTCAACAACGGTCCCGCCACATTTTCATAGTCAGGGACGGTGTTGCTACCTGTAATCCCGATTGAGGAATTTGCAGGTACCTGTTTTTGCATCGGGATGTGTGGCCAACAACATTTACAGTAAAACCTTGGATTGCGAGTAACTTGGTCTGAGAGCAAAAAATTTAAATAAACATTAATTTGATAAACGAGCGAGGTCTTGCAATACGAGTAGTACGTGTATACGCTTTGTCTGCCGAGCGTCACGTGATCACAACTGATATACGAGTGCTTTGAAATACGAGTGCTTTCGATTACAAACACGTTTCCGGAACGAATTATGCTCGCAATCCAAGGTTTTACTGTATATCGAACAGAAACCAGACAGCCCAGAGGAAACCCACGCAGAACAGGGGGGGGCACATGCAAACTCTGCGCAGAAAGGTGCCCTAGTTCGAGAATCGAACCCAGCCCCGCCTTGCCGCGAGGCAACGGCTGCTATCGCCGAGCCAGCCCGCCGCACAAAAAGTGCCTCCTGATGTTTCTGCTAATGGCCCTCCTCCTTCAGTTACGGAAAAGTGCCACCGGGACGTAATTCGAGAATGCATTTCAGAATGCGATGCCATGAGAGGTGAAATGTTGCAAATATCCAACGTGCGGAACGTAGCAGCTCCGCGAGCGTCAGCTGGGAGCCTAGGACGTGAGACACAAAAGCACCGGTTCTCTTTTTTACGTAAAATAACCAAATGTGGCAACCGCCCGGTGATGCCGGTTGTAGCTACCAGCGAAACGTTAAATGTGTCCAACGTCTGTGGATCGCTCTCCAACAACGCACCACTGTGCTGAAGCTGTAATATATTGGCACGTTTGTTCACGTGGCTGTCAGGTGGAGGAGGGGTGTACAACACACGTTTTACTCACCCGGCGACCGGACCCAAAACATTTATTGTGAATAGAAATTACCTTCTTATCGACCACACCATGCACGGATGTTGTGACGAGGTTGAGAAGAAACTAGCAGGCGCGTAACGGTTTGCCCCTCCCCAGGGGTTTGATGAATTTTCGCGTTTTGGGGAATCACGATCAAATAAAGACGCCATTATTTTTCCCTCTCTTGTCGTTCATCTATTTCCGTGTGTTCACTCCGTCAAAACCCAAAAGCGACATTGAATTTGCGTGCGATTCTCATGAATCACAATCAATTATTACACCCACGGTTCAATGCACATGTCGTAACACGTAAGAACCGATGCTTTAAAAGAAAGGCATTTAAAAATAGAAATATTTTTTAAAATAAAGGCAACACAGATTTGCTTCGTGAATTCCTCTCTCGTTGCCGGCGCTGCGTGCGTCGGGTTTCACCGCCCGCGGCGTTTGCCTGCGCCGTGGTCGACGCCGGCGTCTCTCTCACCGTCGTCCTCGTCGCTGGAGGCGGCCGCGGTCCCCGTGGGGCCCTCCAGCGTCGGGAGGGGCGGGCGGGAGCCGGGGTCCCCGACTGCCACGGCGACGCCGCCGCCGCCCCCATCCACCTCCCCTCCACCTTCCACTCCGTGCGGTCCGCTCCACCCCGCAGCACTTCCCGCATGGCTCGTCTCCATGGTAACCACCTCCGTATCTAGGCTCTGTGCCACGGCAACCGCTGTCTCATCCTGGTTCTTCTTTACGACGACCGCCCCCTCACCCAGGTTCTTCTCCGTGGCAACTCCTTGCCTATCTATTATTTTTTCCATGGTAACCGACCCATGACTCAAACTCTTTTCCACACCAACTGTACCATCGCCCAAACTCCTCTTTATGACAACCACTTCTGCATCCTGGATCGTTACCGTGGTAACCGCCTTCTCATCCATCCTCTTCTGCATGGTAATTGCATCCTCGGACGGGCTTTTTACCACATCAAATGCATCCCCACTCAGCTTCGTCTCCACGGCAACCACTTCTTTACCCGGGCTCCTCTTCATGACCTCCTCCTTTACCATGGCAACTACCTTCTCATCCAGGTGTTCCTTTATAATAACAACTTCCTCCTCACTCAGGTTCCTCTCCATGGCAACCGCCTTCTCATCCAAGTGCTCCTTAACAACAACTGCCTCCTCCTCGCTAAGCCTCCTCTGCACAACCGCCTCCTCATTCAGCCTCTTCGCCACGGCGATCACTTCCTGACCCAGGCCCATTGCCACGGCAACCGCTCCACGACTCGAGCTCCGATTCACAGCAGCGGCAGCCGCCGCCCCCACTGCCAGCCTGCCCTCCACGGCGGTGACTTCCGCTCCCTCGTGAATCCCGCACGGAGTTCCCGCGCGGGCCCCGTTGGCTGGGCTCGGCTCGCTGGTGCGCACAGGCGCCGGGCTCCACGCGGAGCGGCCGAGGGGTCCCAGCGGGCGCTCGCTCTTGCTGGAGCCGCCGGGCGAAGCTGGCGCGGTCCCCTCGCTCGCAGCCGGACCCTCGGGCTCCCTTGGACCTGGGGCGACAGCGCGAGCTCCACTCAGCGACTACGAACGCGCTACTCAGTGATGGGGTGATTTTTTGTTTGTTTGTTACCAACGCTGCTTAACAACTAAAATTTTAAGCATTAAAGCATCAGCTCTGCCCGTCTGTAGGGAGTGGGGGGGGGGTCATTATCTCGTAAAAATGGTCCAATATAAATGTGTTGCTATGAGAGACTTGGCCTATTGAGAAGTGGACAAATTGATCAAAAGATTTACCCAGATTTGGCGATAAAAACCAGCACTAAAAGGATAACCCCCTTCAGCTTGCAGCGTGGTTTCCTCCCAGATGAAGAAAATAAACAAACATGGGCTGAATTTCGATTTAAAGCTTTCGTGACTGCATGGATTCATATTCTTGGTTCTTTCGGTAAAGTCACGTAGAAGGGAAATAATAAAAATAAAACATAAGATAAAATTCTCACGACGTTTCGGCCACAATGCAAGCAGCCGTCCTCAGGTGAAGAACCAAGAATATGAAACATGGGCTGGCCTACATCATCAGCAACTGCCAGCATTGGACACCAGCTGATAACTCTATACGATGGAGGGAGGACGTGAGCTACACAATTCAATTCCTAAAGAAGCTCCCAGCACATGGACTGAAACGTCGGACATCATGCCGAACAAAATGCGGTATAACCCAAAAACACATCACAGATCAGCTGCTGCTGTTGTTGTGTGTAGATATTACACAGTGGGGAGCGGTAGTGTCGTGGTTAGCGCGCTGCGCTACGAACCCGGCGACCCGAGTTCGATTCCCGCTCACGGCCAACACCAGTGATGCTTATCTGAACCGGTCCTGGGCCTCCCCTAGGTCGACTCAGCCTGAAATGAATACCTAGTGCGGTGTGTAAAAACATCGCCAATGGGGAGACAAAGGCGGCCGGGCGTGGTGTTGGCCACCCACCCCCTCGTGTGCCGTGCCGGCCTTCATAGGTACCCGCTAACAGCACCTAACCCAACAGTCTGTTCAGGCAATATGGGGGATCTTTGTCCTTGTGTACTACACAATATTGGTCTGTCCCATGACCTCCCATCAGTGAAGCCTTCCACACTTCGCGTGACCTCAAAGTGCACATAGCCTGGCGCGAGCGGCGTGGTGATGTCACCGTCGCTCTGTTGTTTCTGTCGTTGCTTCTGTCGTTGTTGTCATTGCGATTGTTGCCGTGCGTGTGGTCGCTCACCCTGTATGAGGATGTAGTGGCTGGTCTCCTCGGAAACGACGCGCTGGGACTCCACGCGCTGGCCGGGCCCCGCGCCGGCGAGGCCCTCGTGCCCCTGGGCCCTCGCGCTGCCGCTCATCTCCTCCTGCAGCCCCTCGATGCGGCGGCTCAGACGACTGCGCTGCAGCAGCCCCGCCAGCTGGTAGTTGGAGAAGCTCACCGACTCCTTGGGGTGAGGAGTTCGCATTGGAGGTAGGGTTAAAGTTAGGGTGAGGGTTAGAGTTAGGGTTAGAGTTAGGGTCAAGGTTAGAGTTAGGGTTAGAGTTAGAGTCAGGGTTAGAGTTACAGTCAGAGTTAGAGTCAGGGTCAGAGTTAAGGTCAGGGTTAGAGTTAGAGTCAGGGTTAGAGTCAGGGTTAGAGTTAGGGTCAGGGTTAGAGTTAAGGTCAGGGTTAGAGTCAGGGTTAGAGTTAGGGTTAGAGTTAGGGTTAGAGTCAGGGTTAGAGTTAGGGTTAGAGTCAGGGTTAGAGTCAGGGTTAGAGTTAGGGTTAGAGTCAGGGTCAGGGTTAGAGTTGGGGTTAGAGCTCATCGCATCACTGCGTTGCTCACCTCGGGCATGGCCTGGAAGAGGGTCCGGCGGCGCTTGTGAGCCTCGCGTAGATCCGTGAGCAGCTCGTGTTGGATCTCGCTCGGGAGAGACTTGAAGTCGGACGAATCCACGTCCACGGAGCCTGGGTCCTCCTCAAACTTCAGCCAACGCAGACGCACGGATCACCCGCCGGACTCCGCACAAAGACAAAGATCCCCCCGTATAGCCTGCACAGACTTTTTGGGGCAAGTGCTGTTAGCAAGCAGCTATGAAGCCCGGAACAGTACACGAGGAGGTGGGTAGTGGCGATGTTTACACACCGCACGAGTTACTCATTTGAGACTGAGTCGCCCTCGGGGAAGCCTAGGACCAGTTAAGGTAATCATCACTGGTGTTGTTGGCCGTGAGCGGGAATCGAATTCGGGTCCTGGGTTCATAGCTTAGCGCGCTAAGTGGTTAAGTACAATAGTTTGTGTATGCGCTTGTGCACACACACATGCGCACACACACGCACACACCACCACCCCCCATCAATCATTTGAAGCCCACTTAATTACGGTTACCCACAAGCACCCACCGCTCACCTACTCGGTACGTGTAACAAATTCCGCCAACACCTACCAGCGCATCAAATCTAGACCCCCGAAACGTGAATCACAAGGGTGAATTGTTAAAAAACCGACCCCTGATCCTTCCTGAATCCTACTCGATCACCTCCTGCACCTGCAGGAATCAGCACATGAATGCATTCCCACGCCGAAGAGACCTCCGTCACCTGAAGCTGATGCCTCCACGTGGCTGGGTCAGCCCTGCCCACTTCATCCACCTCCTCCACTTCCTCCTCTGACGATGAGCTGAGGGCACAGCCATCCACGCATTCTATCTCGCGTGCACACTCAACAACACACGAATACACTCGCGAGCACACACCAAGACGAGCCCTACACACGCTGTCACGCGCACACACACAAACAAAACAAAGATCCCCCCACATAGCCCCTAACAGACTGTTGGGGCAAGTGTTGGTAGTCATGGCTTGGCTTCGCGAACGAAGATCTAGGAAGGACATCCACGTCTTCTGCAGGCACGCTGGTGGCTGAAGAGGCCTATGCGGGACAAGCAGGTCCTGCCACAACAGCTGCAAGTATAAGTCTGATCTGGGATGGGTGCTGAGGGATCATGGTTCTTCCTCCTTCTCCTTTTGTCCTCCATACGGGCCCTGCGGGTATCTTCGAAGAAGGAGGTGGCCTGGTGGACTGTGTGCCGCCAGGAGTTGCGATCAGCTGCTTGTGTTGCCCACTGACGGTGATCGATGCAGCAAGCAGTGAGGGACTTCTTCAGGGAGTCTTTGCATCGCTTTCGTGGTGCCCCTATGTCGCGATGGCCAGAGGACAGTTCCCCATACAGCACAATCTTAGGCAAGCGGTGGTGAGCACCTATTAAAGCCGGCAATGCACATAAGGGGGTGGGTGGCCAGCAGCATGCCCTGGCCATCTTTTTGTCGCCAGTGTTGGTCTTACACACCGTATCAGGTACTCATTTGAGGCTGAATCGACATCGGGGAGGCCCAAGACCGGTTCAGATATTCATCACCGATGTTCACCGTGAGCAGGAATCGGACTCGGGTCGCTGGGTGAGTGCAGCACGCGAACCACTGCGCCACGGCTCCCCACACACAGTAACTACACTCACCAACAAGCATTTTAACTTGCATATACCCTCATAAACACACAAACCCACTAGCACGCGCACTAATATTCTCACAAGCAGACAGCTTTTTCGGCACACATTCTCATTATTAGACAGTGACCTCCTGTATAGCACTACCAGGCTGTTGGGGTGAGTGATGTTCGCGAGCGACCTGCGAACATGGGCTGTTTGCTGCCCCGTCGGACCGACGATGACTCCCCGAGAGAAGCTTCGTTATTATATCCGCGTCTTGACGAGGCTCGGGAGACCAATACCGGAGGCACGGAAGCGACCGCAGCGTAACGTGAAGGCTGAAGAGACAGCGCGTGGAGGGAGCCTAACACGCCGCCGCTCTCTTCTCAGCAGCTGCCGTCTCGCGTCGGTCTTTCAAAAAAGTTCAACGCCGTCGTGCGGCACGGAGGAACGACACGCCGGGACGGTGCCTTGCGCTATCCCCGTCCGGTCGGTGCCGTGACGCGCGAGGGTTCCCGGGCTCCGCCGCGTGCGTTTCCCTCACCTGCGCGGGAGCTGGGGCAGCGCCGGCAGCTTGAAGAGGTCGGCGTCGGCCGTTCGGTCCGTGGCGCCACGTGCCGAGCGCACCCTGCCGCCCCCACGGACAGATCCGGTTAGAACCGCACACGCCAGTCGCCTTCTGCAGACCCTACGCTACGGGCCTCGCTCCGGCCACAAACAGGCCACAGAGTACAGGAGCTCGCGTTGCAGGCCTCGCATTCAGAGGACCCGCGACAGTAATCCACTGCACGTAACACCACGTGGCTTTAACCGCACGTGGAAGGCCGACTGCTATGGTCACAACGTGCTACAAACGACGCATCGCTCCGTTTCACATGCACAGCCCACGCACCGGAAGGATGACTGGCTACAGTCACGCATATTTTTAAAGCAGCCGTAAGCCTGAAGAGTCGGTCGCTGTCAGCACCCTAAACAAAACAAAAAAACTGAACTATTATTTTTATTTGACCAGGGACGGCCCACTGAGCTATGTAGCTCTTTTTCAGAAGCGACCTGGCCACAAATGATTGCTCAACGAAGTGGCTTATCACGTGGAAATTGATAGCGGCCAAATCCTCTAAACGCGCGTTTATAAACGTACAGGGAAAAACCGGAGAACCCGGAGAAAAACCCACGCGACCACAGGGAGAGAGACACGCAAACTCCACATACACAGGCGTCAGGGTCGGGGATGGAACCCACGCACCCCTCATACCAGGCGAGGTAGTTAACATCTGCGAGCCACCGCGTCGCGCCCCACCCGGACACACCTCTCCCTGCCCAGCATGGCGCCCACGGCCTCCTTCTTGAGCAGCACCTTCATGAGCCGCTCGGCTGCACGCGACGAGTCTCGCTCGGCGTCACCCTTGCGCTGCCTCCGCACATCCTGCGGCGGGACGACAGTGACGCACGGGGAGGGGGGGCGGTCGGCAACTTTTCGAAGAAGAAGAGAAGCCGTTCGTTTTTTTTTGTCTTCGAGCAAAATAGTTCGAGAGACGCATCACACGCACCACTACTTGTACACAAACACGGCAGCGGGTATACAGCAGATGACTACAACACATTCTTGTGGTAAAGTCACATAGAAGGGAAATAATTAAAATAAAACAATAAAATTATCACGACATTTCAATTGCAACACAAGCAATCATCATCTGGTGTGAAAAGCACAGCAAATGTTCTTGCTGTGGTTTGGATTCGGGGTACGATTGCAACACAAGCAATCATCATCAGGTGTTAAAACCACAGCAAATGTTCTTGCTGTGGTTTTCACACCTGATGATGATTGCTTGTGTTGCAATCTAAACGTCGTAATAATTGTATTGTTTTATTTTTATGATTTTATTATTTCCCTTCTATGTGACTTTACCGAAAGAACCAAGAATATGAATCCCTGCAGTTACGAAAGCTTTCAATCGAAACACATTCTGACTTAAATAAAACGAAATAGGTGATGGAATAAACTCTCTATTTAGTTTTATTTTCCCCCCATTAGTTATTCTTTAACAATAGGCAGTTTGACTGAACATTTTGTCGTCACCGAGATATTGCAGTGATCCATTCCCCGCCATATTTGATCAATTATCTTTACGTTAAATAATGTAAAAACTACAAGTAACAAAATAAACGGTTGCCTGCAAAGGTGCAGCCAAAGAGCCGTAAGGGGGCAGCCAAAATAGCGTGCTACTTAAGGAGTCGGTTGCCCCGATGTCAGTTTTCTGAGTAAAACCCCAAAATTCCATGAAGGGCAGCTGCCACTCCTTTTACAGCTTGTAAAAATAAGTAATATTAAAAATAATAATTTAAACACGCTTTTAAGAAATGTACTAGTAATGGAAGAACTCCACGACCCCAGGAAGTGGCCCCGAAGCTTGCCACAACGTAAGGGACCGTGGCCAATTACAGCCAACGTCAGTTTACCGTGGACAATTAGAGCCAAGCTGAAACATTACATATAAAAAAGAATGTTTTTTTATGATAGAATATAGTATTGTCATCAGTACGACATAAGTATACCAAGTTTGCAGTCGATACCACATTGTGAAGTGGGTAAAAATGTAGTTACAAGATTTGACGATACAACGACAACAACAGGCAGAGTGAGTTAAATGAAAGCGTGTAAAAAGGTGACTCATATCGCATTGAATTAAGATGAGGAGCCTCACCAGAGTTCTCCTCTTGAGGAGCGGCGCGGCGCCGTCGAACACAAACACGGGCTTGATGCCGTAAAAGAGCAGCTTGCAGACGCGGTGGAAGAGTGTGACGAGGTGAGCCGCCTTGATGGGGTTGCCATGGCGGTCGCGCACCCCCCGCACCGCCTGGTTCATCCAGATGCTCACGTCTGCCTGAGTCAAGGGGACGCTCCTGCAGCAGACGGGGCTCAACGGCAGCGCACGCAGCCCCACGTGCTCACACTGAGACTAATCGCCCTAGCTATTACCTCATCATGACCGTTGGCAATAGATCCTAGTCGTAATCATCGTCATAAGCGTAGCTCTAAACCTTGCCAAAAACACAGCCCCTGGTCAGTAACTTTAGCCCTAACCCGAATCCTAGCACTACCCCCTAGCCTTAACCCTCGCACTAAACCTTGCCCTGAATCTATCTTTTTATCGTACCCCGAATCCAAAACCCACGGTGCTTCTCACATCAACTATGATCCATGCGGTGGTCTTGGGAAGCGCTTAACCGTGGGTGACGCCGGTGGCAGCGAGAGCTCTCGGCCATTACTCAAGAGGATACCGACTGCCAGGACCTTCCCCCTCAGAGACTCCAGGTCGACAGGGTCTCCCGGTGGAGTCCAGCAGGGTCCAGAGTCCCTTAACTCCCATGGTGAGGCCTGCACACGACAACACCACCACCACCATCGTCATCGTTTCAACCAGAATCAAGAGCAGCAAACATTTGCAGCCTTCGTCAGCGTCACTAGGACCACCATCATCATCAGCAGCACATCACCACCACCATCATCAACAACCTTACCACCATCAACATCAGCAACACCATGAAACATCACCGGCATCACCATCAGCACCTTCACAGACATCATCAACAAGTACAGCACCCGCAAAGCCATCACCAGAATCTGAAGAACAATTACCATTACCACCACCATTGACAGCATAACCACTACCAACAGCACATTCACAGCCATGAATGACTACAATAACCAGAATCTGAAACCAGCAGCAATGGCACGATCACCACCATCACCTAAAGAACGAATACTACCACCATCAACGCGAATCCATAGCATCATCAACTCCATCTCCACATCAGCGGAATTTCCATCAACAGAACCAACATCACCTTTATAACTACCGTAGGCAAAGACAAAGAACGAACTGTAGGGTCAAGTGCTGTTAGCGAGCACCTCTGAACGCCTGAACGGTTCGCGAAGAGGTGAGTAGCCAGCACCACGCCCGGCCGCCTTTGTCTCCTCAACAGCGATGCTTATACACCGCACCAGGTACTCATTTGAGGCTGAGTCGACCTAGGGGAGGCCCAAGACCGGTTCAGATATTTGTCACTGGTGTTGAACGGGAATTGAACTCGAATCGCCGGGTTTGTAGCACAGCGCGCTAACCACACCACCGCTCCCCACTATCATAGGCACCATCATCATCACCATCATCATCATCACCATCATCACCACCACCACCATCATCATCATCACCACCATCATCATCATCACCACCACCACCATCATCATCACCATCACCACCACCATCATCATCATTATCACCACCACCATCATCATCACCACCATCACCACCATCACCACCACCACCATCATCACCATCACCACCACCATCATCATCACTACCATCACCATCATCACTACCACCACCATCATCATCACCACCACCATCATCATCACCACCACCATCATCATCATCACCACCACCATCACCACCATCATCACCACCATCATCACCATCACCACCACCATCACCATCATCACCACCATCATCACCATCACCACCACCACCACCATCAGCCGGCGTGAAGGTCGTGTTTAGAGAACTCGCTCCGTACAAGTGCAGCCATTTGTCAATCCACTGCTAGATGATGGAGGAGGGGGGGGGGAGGGTTCACGGTGCAGCAGCTGTTATTAAACACTGAAGACTGGTAGAGCATTGTGAGTGCGGTACGATTTTGTCAAACAATGCACACGAACGGGGCCGTGCAGAGTGTGATGTGTGGTGTGTTTGAACTTCTTTCGTACCGTACGCAGTCAACCGGAGTGATGCAGAGCCACGGGGGTGGATGGAGATGGTTGCGTGAGTAGAGAGAGTGGAGACTCCGAGACTGAGAGAGTGGGAGGGTGAGAGGGTGAGACAGAGTTCATGTTCATTGATTAGCTATAGCCCTGTGAGACATTCGGCTCTTGAATCGGGTGCAACCGCAACAAACAAAAACAAAACCATGAACAAGAAAACATCTCAGAGTGACTATGTGACTAAGCGTAAACAGAAAATCCAAGAAAAGACACCCCACAGAGACGATCACCCCTCTCTGTACCTGTGTTGCCCGCTCTGTGTATCTTGGTGATATCTGTCTGCTTATATGTCTGTCTATAATTTTTTTCTGGTTAGATTTTATGTCGCTATTTCATTATACCTGATGATTGCTTGTGTTGCAATTGAAACGTCGTATGCTATTATTTAATTCATTATTGTTTCTTTATACGTGACTTTACCGAAAGAACCAAAGAAGAAAACGCACCGTGTACACCAACGCTGTGTGCACAAATCCCAGTGGGATGCAAGTCAAACAACAACAACCACAAGACAACTTAGATTAAGGCCATCAGTCTAACTCCGTACTACAACAAACAAACATGGCCAAACCAAAAAACTTTCGAAATCACCAAAATAAAGCCATGAAAGCAGTGAAAGCAATGAAAGGAAGAGGAGAGGAGAGAAGACACCGCCGGGCAGACGAACCTCCCTCCCTCCTGCACAGGCCCGCAACGTGAATCCGCGCCGCGACCTCCGACCCTGACGGCTGCCCGCGTCACGTGACCCCGGCGCGTCACGTGAGCAGCGAGTCGAGTCGTCACGTGACGCGCGGCGCCACGTGACGCACCATGGCGCGCGTGGGGTTCGCTTCGCCGCTGCTGCTGCTGGACGGGGGCGTCTCCTCGGAGCTCGAGGCGGCGGGGTTCCCCTTGCAGGTGGGAGGGGTGTGGGGGGGGGGGTGGAGGGGGGTGTGGGGGGGTGTGGGGGGGGGGTGTGTGGGGGCGTGTGGGGGGGGGTGGGGGGGATGTGTGGGGGGGGTGTGTGGGGGGGGTGTGGGGGGTGTGTGGGGGGTGTGTGGGGGGGTGTGTGGGGGGGTGTGTGGGGGGTGTGTGGGGGGGTGTGTGGGGGGGTGTGTGGGGGGGTGTGTGGGGGGGTGTGTGGGGGGGTGTGTGGGGGGGTGTGTGGGGGGGTGTGGGGGGGGTGTGGGGGGGGGTGTGGGGGGGTGGAGGGGTTCCCCTTGGAGGTGGTGGGGGGGTGTGGGGGGGTTCCCCTTGCAGGTGGTGGGGGGGGGGGTGTAGGGGTTGCCCTTGTAGGTGGTGGGGTGGAGGGGTTCCCCTTGTAGGTGTGACGTATGACGGGGGTGGAGGGGTTCCCCTTGGAGGGAGGGGGGGTGTGGAGGGGTTCCCCTTGTAGGTGGGGAAGGGGTTCCCCTTGCGGATGTGACGGGGGTGGAGGGGTGCCTCCTGCAAATGCTGGGGGGGGGGGGTCAGTCATCTCGGTCAGTCGACCCGTGGCACCTGCTGGGTCTGCCCCGTGACCTCCTCCTGCCAGCGGGCGTTCGACACTTCACGTGGCCTCAAGGTGCACATGGCCTGGCACAAGCGTCGTGGTGACGTCACCACCACTTGGTGGCGAATGGCGGTTGTTGTTGTTGCTCCAGCAGGTAGGGAGGGTTCCCCCTGCAGGTGCTGGGGGGGGGTGCCCCTGCAGGAGGTGGGCGGTGGTCTGCTGCAGGTGGGGGGGGGGGGGTCCCCCTCTAGGTCTAAGTGGTGGGAAGCGGGGGGGGGGGTACCTCCTTGTCTCTTCTTGGGCCTGGGTGGGCGCGTGTGCGGGACGGAGGCGGTGGGGGTTTAGATGGGCCCCCACCACCCCCCACCACCCCCCCACCAACCCCCCCACCAACCCCAACACCCCCCCCTCACCACCCCCCACCACCCCCCCACTAACCCCAACACCCCCCCCTCACCACCCCCCCACCATGAACTCTGTCACGTGTCGTGCGTTGCAGGGTGACCCCCTGTGGAGCTCCCGGCTGCTGCTCACCCACCCGGACGCCGTGAAGGACGTCCACCTGAGGTTCGTGACGTGCACCCAGTCACTCGCTAACAACTTCTTATCCACCCGCACTCTGCACCCCACAGTAAACCCATAGAGACGCATAGAGGAGACCCATAGAGATGTGTATAGACTCATAGAGATACATAGAGAATCAGAATATGTAGACTGGAGGGATGGGTTAGCAAGTTACATCAACAAAAAATACGATAAAGAGATACTCGAGTAAGATAGAGAAAAGTTGAGAAAGTAATTAAAAAAATTAATAAAGAGAAATATTAATAAGTATGGGAGTGCAAATTGCACGCGTACATGCATTACAAATGTGCATGTTGTTTATGCCATTTATTGTGCAAATTCCGTCACAGTTCCTATGATCACTGTTTCATTGCTTTCATGGCTTTATTTTGGTGATTTCGAAAAGTGTATTGGTTTAGCCATGTTTGTTTGTTGTAGTACAGAGTTAGACTGATGGCCTTAATCTAAGTTGTCTTGTGGTTGTTGTTGGTTGTTTGACTTGCATCCCACTGGGATTTTTGCACACAGCGTTGGTGTACGGTGTTTTTTCTGCAATATTTTGCTGCCTTTTCTTGGATTTTCTGTTTGCACTTAGTCACATATTCACTTTAAGATGTTTTCTTGTTCATGTTTTTGTTTGTTGCGGTTGCACCCGTTTCAAGAGCCGAATAGCTCACAGGGCTATACCTAATAAATGAACTTGAACTTGAAATGCAAGCTGGGGCAATGCTGAAAAACAACAACAAACCAAGACCACGCAGTCTCTCGATCACAGTGCACCTTAAAATTGGACCATCGAGATACAGAGAGACACAGTAACGACAATCCACAGTCGTGTGATTGTGGCCATGGAGCCCGAACTCTGGACCTGGCAGTAAACCACTCGGCACCCCTTCAACGGAGGAGGAACAGCAGCACGACAGGGCTCTGTGTCTCCTGAAGCCCCTCTCCTCGTGGCCAGCAGCGGCCTCGACACTGGACGGTCACCGACTGAACGAATGGCTCCTGCTGCTCCTGCTGCTGCTCCTGCTGCTGCTCCTGCTGCTGCTGCTGCTCCTGCTGCTGCTGCTCCTGCTGCTGCTGCTCCTGCTGCTGCTGCTGCCGCAACACGACGCTGCTTCTCTCCCGCATGCCCCCGCTGCAGAGACGGCCATAATGTTGGCGGTCCAAGCCCACCGCGTGATTTATCAATTCTCAAAAAAAGCCGGAATATTTTGCTAAAATTAAGTGAAAACCGAGTTAAAGATCGCGGGATTTTTATTTTATGCGTGTGTGTGTGCGCGCAGTCATTGCTGAGCGGGCTGAGATCGTGAACGTACCGCGCTTAATCAGGATTGGGTGGCTGAAACCGGGGATCAAACGGGCGGATCTCAGCCGTAAGTGGCTCCTCAGTGTCTCTGCCATGACTTTGGAAGTGATCTGCTCGGCTTGAGCCTGGCCTTGTGTAACGTAGATGCCGCACTCTCTGTAAGCACCCGCGCGTCTCACTGCAGGGCCCTTTCGTGCTCGTGTTCATTCCACGTGCGATGGATCCGCTTCCCACTCACTGCCGCCGTCACATGAGCTGTGCGTGCGTGTGTATTTTTGTTCTCCGTGCCCCGGCAGCTTCTGTTTGGCCGGATGCAGGGGGTTAAACTAGCGCGGCACGGGCTGCAGAGGAGATGGGCTGATGTGGGTACGGGAGGATTTGGAGATGGTGGAACCGACGGATGACTTGTACCAATGTCATCAAGTCCGGTCTTTCATTCACACGGAGATCCGTAGACTCACAGACTCGTAGAGAGACCTATAGACCCACATCATCAAGACCCATCCTGTACTATGCAATGCATTGTGGTGCGAGTGAGGGATTGCACTTGACAGCAGTCACAATTAGGCAACTCACTTAGTTACCCACTCATGTAGCAGGTAGCCGCTGCTCTCGTGTGTGTTTTAGTAATTGCCAGGGTTGTTTATCTATTTTTTTTTGCATACAATTTTGAAAAAAGTTACCGTTTTTCCACTCGTATGGAAATGTCTGGTAATATACACGTAAAAGTGTTTGACTTCATTAGCAAACAAATGAAGGGAGCTGCCATGGTGTACTGGTGAGCACACTGGACTTGCAATTAGCAATGACAGGCAAGATGTTAACTACCTCGCCGAGTATGCGGGAGGTCATGGGTTCGATCCCAACTGATGACATTTATATTTGGAGTTTGCATGTCTCTCTCTCCCCGTGGTCGCGTGGATTTTTCTCCTGGTCCTCTGGTTTTTGCCTCCATATTTAGAATCAACAGGCTCCACGTGATAAGCCACTCTGTCGAGCTATCATTTGTGGCCAGTTCGCTTCTGAAAAAGTGCGACGTAGCTCAGTGGGCCTGACCTGGTAAAATAAAAAATATTTCAGTTTTTCATCGTTTTAGAGGTCACCGGTTCCGATCCATCTGCTGGCGCGGCACTGCAAACAAGTTTCTTAATCCCCCCCACACTTTTGTCTGCCCAGCAGTTACGGGATAATAAACGCAGGGTACACTGCATAGTCCAGAAATTGGTACCAAAGGTAGCACAACTTGAGTTGTACCGACGTATTATTTGTGACCAATAATAGTGAATTACGTGATAACCACACTCATTTGAAGTGGTTATCACAACATTCACTGTTATTGGCCACATCGGGAAATTGGAACCGCTAAAGTAATGCCACTTCTTCTGATGGTACGGGCACGTGAAATAATCTGCTCTGGCATCGTGGACTGACCGTGAAGTTGATTGGCAGGTCCCGCGGGGGCCAGCCAGTGCATACACGACTCCAAAATTCCACCGGAATTTAAAAGTAAAACAATTCCTTACTTTCAGAATCTGTAACTTATTCTGCAAAATGACTACCGGTTTTCCGATTCACATTTAGCTGCCCGAAGTAAATGTGGTGCTCCAACCCCCAGTTTCCACTCAAGTCCCCACGGAGATCGCAGAGCCAGGGCTCAAAAGACCCACAGCTTTTAGGTCCTCATTCTCTGCAGCGGAGACACCGATTGCATGTCCAGCACACACACACCCCCCGGGCACTCTACGCTGCCGGGGGGTGTTTGATTCAGAGAGAGACGCTAAAAGCCTCTCCGCGCCTCAACACCAGTGATTCTGAAAGCTGATCGGACGTCATCTCCTGTCGCCTGGCTCTCGTGCTGTAGCTATTCAGTGTACAGGCAGTGCAATTGTACCCGGGCCTATGAGGTGCCCAGGTTGCTGAGCTCCAAACAGGAGGGTTGGGGTGGGGTGCTCATGCCAGCCTCGCTACGGCTTTGGCTGGCGCGGCTGCTCTCAGCTCTCGACACCGTCCCGTAGGTTGGCATCCATCTGTTTACAGTGAAACGTTAGTGCCCGACAGTGATGTCCATCACACATTGTGTGATGTTATTCCCTCTTGTCAATCCACTTCTGAATGAGGCCTTCCCCACGCTGTGTGGGTTATTTGACCGTCTTCTGACTGAACATTAGCCTGTGATTGCCATCAACTATTGGGTAGTGCGGTGGGTCTGATTGGTCGCGGATGATTGATGGGATCTCGAGTTATGCCGCTAGATCGCGAGGTCCTGATGGGTCGCGGGAGGGTTACGATGACGCAGCGTGAGGCCATCGTGGTCATGGTGACAGGGTCACGATTCGCGACGGGCTGTCGTTAAATTGGTTCGTGAAGTCGTGGGGGTCACGGTGTCACGCCGCCGGCCCGTGCTGCGGCGCAGGTTCCTGCGGAGCGGCTCGGACGTGATCTCGACGGCGACGTACCAGGCGAGCGTGCCCGGCTTCGTGACGCACCTGGGCCT